CGCATGTAAAATAGACACCACGTGGTCAAATGTAAACAAGGCACCACGTGGTCAAATGTAAACACGGCAGCACGTGGTCAAATGTAAACACGGCAGCACGTGGTCAAATGTAAACACGGCAGCACGTGGTCAAATGTAAACACGGCAGCACGTGGTCAAATGTAAACACGGCACCACGTGGTCAAATGTAAACACGTGGCTGAATGTAAACAAAACATGACGTCAGTGTACGAGAGCCATAGATGGCAGCTAGAACAGGTACAGTGGCTGTAATAGTAGATGGCTTCTAATGATACGTTAGCGATTTAAAAAAAATACACAATGAATATTAAACCAATAATTTATGATTAATTGTATTTTGGTTATAAGTATATTATAAAAATGAAGTTTTTGAAACATGTTGTTTTGTGCATATGTGAGACTAATATTTTATTTTTGTTCTTGTGTGTGTGTGTGTTAGGGTTGTCGCTGTCACCATCCCAACAGGGCCTGGGCCTGTTGTCGAGCAGTGAGGGCGTGGGGTGCCTGGAGATGGGCGTGGTGGAGCCGGGCGACAAGACCACGGGCGGGTGGCTGCGTGCCCTCGGCCTCCCGCAGTACGAGGACCTCTTCGTCGCCCACGGCTATGATGACACCGATTTCATGGTAAATGCTCCTATTGTACTAGAGTATGGTTACACCCCCCCACCCCCTTCCCCTTGCAGCTCTCTCCTGACCCCTCTCTGGTTCTCAACGCTTTCGTGTACATGGGGAATACATGGGGTGTAGGAATGTTCAGTCTCTGGTTATCTTCGAGGCCTCACTATCCTGGGGTGAGCACTGTTAGTGTTGTGCGCTCGCACCATAATGCGTGCAAATACAGTGCTCACTGTACTCTACACCCCAGCTTACCTGTGCATGTCTGCGTGTGCGTGCGTACGCAGACAGCAGCACTCAAATTTAACACATGCGTATCCTTAACCCATTGCATTGTATTACAAATATTTAAATGCAAATATAAATATAGTCCAGTGAGGGAGCACATCACAAAATATCATATACTGAACACTTGTGTTCTAATCATTAGACTTATGACACTGCTTTGGTGTCGTCACAGAATGGCGGAATCCTGGAGAACTTGGACCTTCGTGAGTTAGGGATCACTCACGCGGCACACCTACACACCCTTCAGGAGGCAGTGAAACGCCTTCCTACACCCCTTCACGCCCTCCGCTCCTCCTACACCCTCCCAGACACCGTCGAGGCCTGGCTGGACTCCATACGATTACCTCAGTACGCCCAGAACTTCCACAAAAACGGCTTCGGGGACATGGAGCGGGTGAGGAAGGTGTGGGAGATCGAACTCACAACTGTGTTGGAGATCACGCGTCCTGGCCACCGCAAGAGAATCTTGGCATCGCTTGGAGACCGTCCTCTGGAGCCGGAGCTTCCTCCAGCCCTCAACCCTCACGACCTCAGTCTCGAGCTCACCAAACTGGTAGGTTGTCACATCAATTCTTGTATAACATGTCATCAATTTGATCCATATTTGGTGTTATCTGAGCATAGGCCATAAATGGCCACACTTCTAATGCTGAATAAATCATCACATTGAGTTCATTGATGGTGTTAGAACTTCGTAAGCTCATTCAGCTCATTTTGTCGTTGTCCAGAACTCGGACATCTCGCAGCTGAAAGAGCAGCTGTTCAACGACCTGCCATCATCAACGAGTCGTGAAAGGCGGCCGCCAGAGACCGCCACCAACACTATCCGTCGCTCCGGTACCAAGAAGCGAAGCGCTCCACAGCCACCTTCCAAGTGAGTCCCACATGGCTACTCTTCTGGTACCACTTAGTTACCCTTGCGGTACCACATGGCTACCCTTGCGGTACCACATGGCTACCCTTCATAGTTCATACAGGGTATACAGGGTAGGGTATAGCTTTAATAGACATGGATCATACAGGGTAAGATAGTGTAATAAAGTAAAAAATTCCAGTTTGGCAGCAGGATGCTGCTGCTTCTGGAAACTTTCCTTATTAAGGCTATTCAATAGCTTGGTCGATAGAGCTTCGGTCTCACACATGTGGAGTCCATGGTTTGAGTCTCCTAGAATGAATGGAATGTTTATTTCCATGGAAGTGTGGATGACAATTTAGAGTGTAATAAAGTTACTTTATTATTTAATTAAAGATATAACCATAATAAGGAGCCACATTTCAGGAATAGGATACAGTTACAGCAAAAACCTCGACTATTGAGCATAGAGAATACATTAGTTGTAGTAAAGACCATAACAAATAAAACATAGTTAACAATGTAGATGTATTGGAATATTTTGCCTGTTCCTCCACCCTCCATAGGACCCCTAGAACACAGCCCAGCCTGGACATGCAGGGCGGCGCAGACCGTCTGGGTCACTTGTGTATTCGCGACCCTTCACAGCTTGTAGTGGGCGTCCCCAACACACACCTCACCACCTGGAGACATCACCCTAATGCACTAGTGTCTGCTAGCGTCCAGTATGTTGCACAGGTGAGCCACTCTTTGACCAGCCCCTCTTACATCATGTTTGCTTGCTCAGTACACCTTGCATGCACATATTTTTCAGCACTTAGTGCTAGGGTATACTCCTAATGCATTGAGCTTGTGATGTGACATGATATACGGCCTGGTGTATGAAGATATGTGACTTTTGTAAGTATTTTCTTGCATATTGCACAGGGTGAGCATCTGACAAGAAAATGGCTTGCACTGTTAAGGATTTTTTCTCGTAGTATTACGGTTGCTGTCTGAGGCACTTGTAAAGTCACTGAATAATATAGACACCGTTGGTTCTGTGGCATACATATGTATTTTATTTATTGTTAACCCCTGTATTTTTGACCAAGTCAGTCTTTACTGCAATAAATTCAATAATACATCTTTTCAAGTGTACGTATATAAATGTGTTTTTAATTAAACGAAAGCAAAGGAACGTTTTTATATCATAAAAAAAAGTTTTTATGTTTATATTCGGTTATGTGACTACTGATGAGGTCATTTTCAGTAAGAGCTTCTCTCTTGCAGTACCTCGGGTCAACTCACGTCAAAGAACTAAAGGGAACAGAATCAACAATGAAGTCCATCCAGAAGTTAAAGAAGTCCACCTCCGAAGGAGTAAAAGTTCCTAAGATAGTCCTCTCGGTGTCATATCGGGGAGTGAGATTCATTGATGCCATAACGCAGGTTAGTCCTATACCCTCATCATTTCCACCTGGAAGTCATCGTCTGTCTGTTTTGAATATATACAATGAGACATTCTCAATGATGCCGCCTAAATTGTTTGATAAGTAGGCATCCTGATTCCACCTAAATTGTTTACACAATTCCAAAAATGATCTTGTAAGAAAATATTAAGTTATAACTGCTCCTGAGTGAGTATTTCTAGGGAAAATCTCCCATATTTATTATGCATTGAAATCAAATTTTAACATAAATGTATCTTTTCATTGAATGTATTTCTTTATTGAATGTTTTCTATTGAATGTATTTTCTCATTGACTGTATTTTTTCTTTGATTGTATTATTGCACTGAATGTGTTATAACCTCTGTTGTCAGGCATTAGTGTGTGAACATGAGATTCGTAACATCCACTGTGCCTGCCAGGACGCTGACGACCTCTCTCACTTTGCCTACATCACGAAAGATCTGGAAACTAAAGGGCATTATTGCCACGTTTTCAGAGTACAGTCTAGGGTGAGTATCTGTATATGTAGCATGCATTCTTAAGGAGAGTATCTGTGTTGTAAACAGTCTAGGGTGAGTATCTGTATATGTAGCATGCATTCTTAAGGAGAGTATCTGTATTGTAAACAGTCTAGGGTGAGTATCTATATATGTAGCATGCATTCTTAAGGAGAGTATCTGTGTTGTAAACAGTCTAGGGTGAGTATCTGTATATGTAGCATGCATTCTTAAGGAGAGTATCTGTATTGTAAACAGTCTAGGGTGAATATCTGCATAGCATGCAGTTTTAAGGAGAGTATCTGTATTGTAAACAGTCTAGGGTGAGTATCTGTATAGCATGCAATCTTAAGTAGAGTATCTGTATTGTAAACAGTCTAGGGTGAGTATCTGTATATGTAGCATGCATTCTTAAGGAGAGTATCTGTATTGTAAACAGTCTAGGGTGAGTATCTGTATTGCAAATGGTCTAAAGAGAGTATATAACATACAGTTAAGGGTAAGGATCTGACTGCTAAGGTCATTAAAGCTGCAACTTTCCTTGTGAATTATCATCAAGTGTAGTGAAGTCCCTGACATTGTTTAGAGATTAGCATTAATTTGGTTGACTGTGTTCATAGAGAAGTTACTGCTTCTTGGTTCGTATACTCTTGACCAGTACACCTATTTGTGCTTTGGGGGTTGAGCTCTGGCTCTTTGGTCATCTGTGTGTGTGTGTGTGTGACAGATTTAGATATATAGATAGGTAGATATAGATATATAGATAGATATATGTGTAGATAAATAATAAAAATGTAGATAAAAATAAATGTAGATTGATAGGGTAGATAAAGACAGGCTATTGAACACAAGGGGCACACACACAAGGGGACACAGGTGGAAACTGAGTGCCCAAATGAGCCACAGAGATATTAGAAAGAACTTTTTTCGTGTCAGAGTGGTTGACAAATGGAATGCATTAGTAAGTGATGTGGTGGAGGCTGACTCCATACACAGTTTCAAGTGTAGATATGGTAGAGCCCAATAGGCTCAGGAATCTGTACACCTGTTGATTGACGGTTGAGAGGCGGGACCAAAGAGCCAGAGCTCAACCCCCGCAAACACAACTAGGTGAGTACACACACACACACACACACACACACACACACACACACACACACACACACACACACACACACACACACACACACACACATACACATACACACATACACATACACACATACACATACACACATACACATACACACATACACATACACATACACATACACACGCACGCACGCACACACACACACACACACACACACACACACACACACACACACACACACACACATGTACACGTACACGTACGTGTGTGTGTGTGTGTTGTGGCAAGTCAGTGTTATGCTGCCTCTTTTTCTCCATTCCACAACCATCTTGTGGAATGGCTAACCTTAATCTCCAAATATTCAACAATTGTATATATGGAGCTTTGTTTTAACTTAAATTTGTTCTTTAAATAGTTAATGCACTTTTACATGGGCAACTCTGCATTTGCAATGATCCTCGTCGTCATTAGACACGAAAAAAATCTGCTGTGCTTGTGTTGTTCGGTGGCTGTGTGAAAATCCACTTATAATAGAAGTATGATGCTACAGTAATACATATCAGAATGATCGTGACCCTATGGCCTATTCATGGCCTATTAATGTGCATTTGGCCACATAAATAGGCCAAATGCAAAATAATGAATGTAATTAACACCAGTAGATACAAATGCCCTCAAATCCATCCGAATCCCAAATTGAATTTGAGGGCTGGAAAGTTATTTTTTTCATATAAATTTAATCTTAATCTATGGTCTTCTATCCCATTATTGTACTTTGGCATTGATTTATCTGGTTCTTGGTCGTGCAAATTGTTTGCAGTCGGTGTGCTTCTTATCGCACCTCACCATTATAATCATGCACATTGCATGATTACAGTTATATAATTATTGTAATTACTGTATATAATTGCAATTATTGCATATATATATATAATTGTAATTACTGCATATATAATTAATTGTAATTGCTCTATATATAATTATATAATGTAATTACTGTATATAATTATATAATGTAATTACTGTATAATCTTATAATGTATGATTATAAATTTGGTAAACAGAATTTGTTATACAGTAATTAACTATCAGTGAGGCTTCCAGAATTTGTTGTAATTAACTAGGAATACAGCATGCATAAATTTTAAGGCCACTTTGCAATTATATTATTTTTTATGAAGATGAAGGAAAGACCGAAAATGTGTAAATATACTAAAAAAACGTTTTTTATGTCATCTACATCCATAAAGGTTGTCAGTTAATCAAAAAATTTGTTTTCCTAATACATTTATAGGGTCTTAACTTGACCTTCATTCAAGCATTATGGCATTGTAGTAAGTTTCCCCATTACTTCTTATTTTAGGAACTTGCAACAGAAATTATCCTTACTTTAGGGGAAGCCTTTGAAGTCGCGTACCAACTGGCACTCCGAGAGCAGCCATATACAAATCAATCCGACGAACAAAAGTTAGCTCATGGACACACGAGGTCAAAGTCGGAGCACTTGCGAAGCTCCCGGTCACTTTCAAATGGCTCTTCTCACACCAGGTAATTATACCGATCCTGTATATATAAAATTTTATTTGGCATTGGTTTACACACACACTTTCTGCACCTGTATACTTTTCAAATGCTATACTGAAGTTTTCTAATGGCCATCAAATCAGCATTGCAATTTTATTTTATTTTTTTCATTATCTTGTAAATATTTAGATTCATCACTGTCCTGGACAGATCACATTCGACTGTGCCCCAGCAGCTGTCCATTGGAGGTGTATCGAGCAGTTCAGCCGAGAATCTTCTCTCTGACTCTGGGAATGGGTCGGAGAAAGAGTGTGGCTCTAGAAGAGATTCCGCCAGTTCGGTACCATCAGGTCAGACTCAGATGAATGGGTCGTAGTGTGCTCCTGTTTAATTTTTTCAAAGAATGGTCAAATACGTGCAAGGAATTGTGATGTCTGAAATGGTTGTCTTGTAGTTTTCAAGTAGCACTTGTAAATCTTTAAGAGTGAAAGTGTTCACATACAAGACTCTCTCTCTCTCTCTTTCTTTCTCTCTCTCTCTTTCTCTCTTTTTCTCTCTTTTTCTCTTTCTCTCTTTTTCTCTTTCTCTCTTTCTCTCTCTCTCTTTTTCTCTTTCTCCTCTCCTCTCTCCTTCCTTTTTTTTGAGCCACTGAGTTGATCTCGGATTAAAGGCTTAACCTTGTAAGGTATATTGATATAGTGTACAGACATTCCTATAATAGAAAATTTAAAGTTTATTTCTTAACACAGTGATTGTGTGGGTATGTATGCTGCAGATACTTCGAGTGCAGTTCAACTGTTGGGTATCTAATCAAAGAATGTTTGGATACTTGAGGACTATAGAAGTTTGAATTTTTCTCGAGTTTGTTCTTTATTTTTCTAAATTAAAGATCCTAGGATTAATTTTATCGATAACCTTAAGCAAAATAGAAACTGGGATAGATTATACTAATTGAATGTACTGTAATGAAGATTTCAAAATCCACTGTAGTCTACCGACTCTGAAAATGAACATTGCTGTGTGAAATTGATCAGTATATGTAGACAATGCAGGGACTTCCCTATTGGGCCAGTCTCAAGATATGTTTGGGTAACATTTCAAGTGTTTTGAAAGGTAGCTAACTAAAGTTTCTCAAAGGAAAACACACGCCCATATTTATTTAAAAAGAGTATTTTGAAAATAGTGCATTTCGATGTCAAAATGGTGCATTTTTTCATTGTTCTTTACCCTATCACATTATAAGATAGGAGTGATTTCCATGTTTAAAGTGAGATTAATAATGTGAACATAACCTAGAAAATTAGTCATGTGTCTGTGAACTATAAAATGAAACTAAAATATTTGGGATGTTGAATCTCAGAAATAATAATTTTTTTTAAATGGAACAAAATTGTTTGTTTTTCACATAGCCTTAAAAAGAGCAAAATTCATTGTTTCCATTTAAGATAAAAGGGTGAGGAGTGAGGTGGTACATCAGGCCGCAAGGGTCGGAAGTGGCCTCCCCCAAGCCTGCACGAGCTGTCTTTCACAGTGTGTCAAATATTGATATCATCATTATAACTGGAGAAATGTGATGAGGGCATGAATTATCATCATCATGGATATTATTTGGCATGACTACTGGCTTTCCTGCTGTGAATATTCCTTAATACTGTAGTTTCATTCCACATTTTGCTTTATGCAGTGTCATTCATTAAGATTCTTCTGTTTTCTGTACACATTTGACTATGTCGCTTCTTATGTGATGACAATTGTTACTTTTTCTGTAAATATATATATTTTTTTGTCATATACCGTACTGTATATATGTATTTATCAATGTGTTAAAATACTGGGTATGTCTGGAGGATGAATTCATCATGTGATGCATTGTTCTTTATGTAGACAATGAGTCACAATAATGTGACTGAAGAGTTGATACCCAACCAACACATCTGAAAATGAAAAGGAAAAATACATCTGTCGTGGACTATTACACGACTTAAGTCGTTAATAATAGTCCAGGACGAACTGAAGTTGTGTTGTTTCTTCGTTCACAGATGTGAGGGTTGGATATTGTTCTTCATGTCATCAGTGATATTAGATGGGTAAATAGCATACGACTGACTGTAACCAGTTAGTCGGCTACATCTGTTACCGGCAGATTTTAAGTAATGTGTTCAAGAATTTGTTCCAAGGACACCTATTGCCTCATTTGTTTCCTCTTTGACACTACATGACATTCATTCCTCTTCGTTATTTTCTCAGGTTCCAAGTTCTGGACATAGTACTGAGCACTGCATCAGCCCGGCAAGTGCCAATATACTGTATATATGTGTGTGAATGTCTCATCATAGTTTTATAAACTTGTATTGACAAGTGGTTCTGAGTCAAATGACACTTGCAGAATAAGTGCCCCCAAACCACAGACCACATATATAGTTAATATTCTTTAGTATCAAGCGTAGCATGAAGAGTGTATTAGTTAAATAATCCATTTATCTTCTCATTGTGATCATAGCATATATAATGTAAACAAAAACAAAAAAATAGGTATTCTCCAAATGTCATTTAAGTGATAATAGAATAAAGAGATAATGAGCAACCACTTTCCAGAGAGTGGTTAAGTGGGAAGGGGGAGTGGGGGGCGGGGGGGAGCTGATCAAAGAAGCTATGTTGCATCACGCCTTTTTGAACGGTGCTTAATTGAGCACTACAGTACTTGTATAGTTGTACTTCTGGCTTGTTTGCACAGTTGATAATGTAAGGTGTTTCGTGATGCTGTCAAAAGCTACATTTCAAAATTTTGACTAAAATTAAAGTTACAATCGATGTATTTCTCCTTTTGAAAACTCATAATAAAAAAAAAAAATTAATGCCTTAGGAATATATATATTTTTAATCACCTCATTATATATATATATATATATATATATATATATATATATATATATATATATATATAAAATATAGAAAATGTTAATCTTCAATTTAACTCGTTTTTATTGGCACTTTTATCATAATAATTCAAGATTTTTCCACGGCATTATTCACCTAATTGTTTAAATTGGTTCGGTTGTTGCCGCACTTTCATCCATCTCACTGGAAACTACCTATAATGCTTAGAGCTGTGAAAAAGTATAGGAAAGCAAAGGTATTATATGTCCACACCTTTCAACTTTAATGATGCATCAAATCTTGATTTTTTTTGTGGGACTCATTCCATGCTAGTCAGTCATATTACTACTAATGACAAGTGAGGGGGTATTGTATCACAGTTGTCATCAGTGTGCTCATAGTGGTGGCTGTAGGAAGTATTGTATCACAGCTGTCATCAGTGTGCTCATAGTGGTGGCTGTAGGGAGTATTGTATCACAGCTGTCATCAATGTGCTCAGTGAGGTGGTTGTAGGGGGGGGGGGGAAGGTTGTATCACAGCTGTCATCAGTGTGCTCAGTGAGGTGGTTGTAGGGGGGTGGGGGGGGGTTGTATCACAGCTGTCATCAGTGTGCTCATAGTGGTGGCTGTAGGGAGTATTGTATCACAGCTGTCATCAATGTGCTCAGTGAGGTGGTTGTAGGGGGGGGGGGAAGGTTGTATCACAGCTGTCATCAGTGTGCTCATAGTAGTGGTTGTAGGGGGGTGGGGGGTTGTATCACAGCTGTCATCAATGTGCTCAGTGAGGTGGATGTAGGGAGATTGTATCTCAGCTGTCATCAATGTGCTTAGTGTGGTGGTTGTAGGGGAAGGGGTGCGGGGGGGATTGTATCTAGGCTGTCATCAGGATTTTGTTGTAGAAAATGCTCATACAGCTGGTGCAGATGGACTGAATGAATTTTGAGATGCATGATTTTGTTACCTTTTTTTTGTGTATTGTATCGTGAAAGGTTTGCCATGTTTTATATAAGTTTTGTACATCAAATGACCTTTGCAGAGTTTTTTTTAACTATTTTTCCTATGTGGAGACTTTCTACTGCTAACTGGTACTGTACTTCTTGATGGTACTGTGCAATTCCATTACAGAAATAGACTACTACTTATGACTTACCCGGAACTATTTTATAGTTATGTTATCGGTTAAGGAGTTTTAGAAGTAATATATGCCTGACATATATTGTTTTATATCAAAGAATTTTTACTGAATGCTGTATAAATATTACACTTGTATAAATATAATGCCAGGAAAGTTTGAACGCACCAGTTACTGAAGTGTGCTGCGGGCGCGTGCTAGTCATGATGAAGATATGTTCTCTGTGTCTGTAGCTGTATTGTTGTTTATGTTGTAGGCTGACTGGACACATGCCAATTGCTGTGGTATAGGAATGTGCGAGTATTATTGGTGTAACTTATAGCCGCCTGCCTCTTAACTCAATATCCAAACACCCTCCTGAGACCAATGAGAGTTTTCTTAGATTTTTTAGTGTTTTATATGTTTTATACATGTTCTCCAAACATATGTAAATTATATACTGCTTTTCTCTGTGTGTAGTTGAAGATTAGCTTTCTAATTATCTAACCCAATTTAATCAGGATTTGTGTGCTGTACCTAAGAGATGAGTGAGCAAGTGTTCATTCCTCAATAGTTTTCTCTAAAATTTGTAAGCTTGAGTGAATGCATTTTCAGTTGATATAGTACCATGATTGTATCCCTCTATTGTGATGGCCTTCAATAACCTTTGAATCACTACCTTTTCTCATGTTATTTTCTGCCATTTCCTGTAGCTATTGGTAAATTCTCTTATGGCATCGACTGTTTGCACTGATCACTAACTTCATTCTGCACATGCCCAGAATCACCATGTCTTACTGGTTGTTTTGCTATAGTAATTTGTTCTCTATATTATTCCATTTTTTGATAATACTCGTATCTGATTATTAGATGTTCTGAACTCCCTCGGATGGTAATCTTCATACATTCTTGTCTTCACAATGAAACCTGAAGGTATTCATCCCCTGTTCACTGATTGTGCAAACACTACAGGCATGCCTATGTTTATCCCCCACAAGGTATGTATTGTTGACCAGACCACACACTAGAAGTTGAAGGGACGACGACGTTTCGGTCCGTCCTGGACCATTCACCATTCCACAATCGACTTGAGAATGGTCCAGGACGGACCGAAACGTCGTCGTCCCTTCAACTTCTAGTGTGTGGTCTGGTCAACATACTTCTGCCATGTTATTGTGACTCATCGCCTGCACAAGGTATGTATTGATGCTACTGACCTTTCATACTTCATGTCCACCACATCCTCTGTGAGCACGTCCTTTGTATGGAAACCCCTCTATATGCATCACCTAATCTATGTGCACCTCCATGATACAATTTGAAATCTTTCTTTCCATATTTATAGATCAAAATATTGGCATCTTTCTCCTTCCACTGTTCACAGAATATAATTTCTACTATGATGTTCAATGCTACTGTAATTGTATGACTTTGCATTTATAGGTTGTAAATGTTTGAAATTAACATGTATAAGCTTGAAAGTTATTAATTTTTTATGTTTGGTACAGAGTTTACTGGTTGCAGCACTCTTTTTCATCTCATTTCCTTAGATGTAGGCTCATATTTAAAGCTACACTGTCACAGAGTTGTGTTGGACTTGTATCCAGATAGCATGTAATTCAGATATGTTGTCTAGGCTTCTTCTCACTGCTGCTTTGTACTGTGCACTATAAGTTGTAACATCACTGGAGTCTTACAATTGTACTACACAGAGCACATATATCTATTTTCAATTACAATTGTCTCCCGAGTTCAAGCATGCTTTTTCAATACTTTTAACTGTACCGTGATGTAAAAGATCACAGTGCTGAAGAAATACTCGTCTTTCTATATACCTTACGTATTGTCGTTTCCAATCATTGGAGAAATTCGAAATTCTATTCTTGTAACTTCTGCCTTCGAACTGTGAGGAGACTTCGTGCGTTGGAAGCATAACTATTTTGCCGTTTTAAATATTCTAATGGAATCTCAAAGCATTGTTTGTGATCCAACTAATATTTTCCAGTTCCATAAGCTTGAGATTGTTTAAAAAAAAAATTAAATCACATGACTATAAAATCTGTTCTCTAACCACTAGGTGACATCTCACGGTTGTTCAGAACTGTAAATGAGTTTGTGTCACATTAGATGGACACAAGAGTTCAAATGTTATTATGAACACATTAAATCTTTAATGAATGCATTGTTTTTTATTTATAGTCCAAAAAATGGCCCAGGGTGTGATATGTAAATCAAAGTTATACTTTATGATGTATAGCTTTGTAGAAATTTATACTTTGTTGACATTATAAAAAAAAAAAAATCCATTGTCCTGTGGTGCAGTTAATGAGGTATTAACATTAAAGCAACCTCAACTGTATCAGAGAAAGGATGATTGTTTAAATTCATTGTTTTCCCATCAATGAGTTTTCAAAAATTTTGTACAGTAAAAGAAAGTGTCCTATGTTGAAAGTCAGCTGTTTGACACTAACCTAACCCAACTTTGCAGAGGGGAAATGGTCCGAGGTAAAGGACGAGAGGCCAGTCAAAGTCCCCCACAAGCACAAATAGGCGAGTACACACACACACACTAACCCTACATCCCTCCTCTTCCCCATGGGATTTTCACGTGCTCTGAAATGAAATTACGGATGCATTTTCCATAGTTTTGATGTTACTCTCGCTATAATGTGTAATAAAAAAAAACTCGATCACTTTTTTCAGGATTGACTGAAAAATGACAAGCTGAATTCATTTCGGTTAGTGATGAAAAAAGTGAGTAGGGAAGATGGTTACTGTGATGAGAGTATATAAAGTGTACATGTAAGATGAGGAGAGATGGGAGAGGGAGAGAGAGACCTGGGCACCCTTCTAGTCTACATCTATAATAGAGAATGTCTGTCCAAGGTTGGAGGCCAGATGTTTTGGGCTAGCCTCACCCACCTTTGTCGGGTGAATGTTCTGAGGTATAGAACAGACATTGGCTGGTTGGGGTTGGTCCCATTTAAGATTGGGTTGGGGCCAAATATTGACCCCCCCCCCCCCAACCTAATTGGCGAAAGGTGTCTGGCCAAGTCCAAACATTTCCTCACTTATAGGAGACAACCCCCCCCCCCCCCCTTCACCTTTGTTTGAATAGAGGAAGGGCAGTTGGTGGTTGGAGAGAGGGAGGGTTAGGTGAGTAGTTGGAGATGGGAAGAGAGGGTGGATAGGGAAAAAGATGACAAAGGGAAGGGGATGGAGACAAGGAGGGGGGGGGGAGAGCCAAGAGCAACTGGGTACCACACTGGGTGAAATACCAATTAAAATAATAACATTTTACACTAACGAGAACTGCCATATTAAAGCACTAAAGCTGTTTAAAACATTTCCTTAATTCTTGCTAAAAGTCTTTCACTTCTAATAAGTCTTAATACGTGTAATTTAGACATTACTCGACTTTAACACGCCATAACTGTCACTAAATCACATCATCACACTGCGTAGTTGACGTTGGTGTGTGGGAGTGACGAAACGACCAGCCCTGTGAGGACTAATGAGGAGAGAGACGATTGATGATTGATTGATTGATAAAGATTAAGTCACCCAAGAGGTGGCACGGGCATGAATAGCCCGTAAGTGGTGGCCCTTTTGAGCCATTACCAGTATCAAGAGCTGATACTGGAGATCTGTGGAGGCGCGACTGCACCCTGCGTGACGGGAGATGTCTCCCGTGGAAGAGAGACGAGAGTGTACAATAAGTGTGAGGGAATAATGAGATGACGTGACACGCCACAAGAACAGCTGTTAGTGATGAGGGGGGGGCGGGGGCGAGGATGAGGACGGAAGATGACCCAACAGCGATGAATATGGGGGAGATGAGTCGTAGGTGTACGCACAACCTTCACTATATGTACATTGTGTGTGTCAAGAACAAGCTACGTGATGCTAGAAGTCTCCATCATACAGGATCGTTAATCACACGGAAGCCGGTGATCAGTAGTCTGCACTGACACACTCTGGGTGCATTATGAGAACACACTCCAGATCACGAGAGTTAATAAAGTGATTGCATAGCTCCAGGTACCTCATACCAGCAGGTGTGAAGGGCTCCAGGTACCTCATACCAGCAGGTGTGAAGGGCTCCAGGTACCTCATACCAGCAGGTGTGAAGGGCTCAGGTACCTCATACCAGCAGGTGTGAAGGGCTCCAGGTACCTCATACCAGCAGGTGTGAAGGGCTCCAGGTACCTCATACCAGCAGGTGTGAAGGGCTCCAGGTACCTCATACCAGCAGGTGTGAAGGGCTCAGGTACCTCATACCAGCAGGTGTGAAGGGCTCCAGGTACCTCATACCAGCGGGTGTGAAGGGCTCCAGGTACCTCATACCAGCAGGTGTGAAAGGACTAATAACTGGACATTGAGTAATGTAGTGTGGGAGATCATGCCGCAGTTCTTGCTCACAGAGTTTGCACCTGGAGTGCTGAATACCAATATGCAAAATTCTGTGAAACTATGGACGCAGTGGTTACCATTTCATCTTTACTAACTTCATGAACCATGCCATGGGAGCTGATGACCCCCCTTAAAGTGGGGTAATGGGGCCAAACCCCCCATCCACTTGTGACGGTTCCACGCCCCCCCTCCCCACCATTCGCTAGCCCTAAGTGGTGGGCCTACAATCTTGGACAGTGTTTTTTTTATAAAGATTGTAAGCCATGACCTCCAAACGTGGAAGTCATGAAGGCCTGGTCGAGGACCGGGCCGCGGGGACGCTAAGCCCCGGAATCTTTGCAAGGTAACTTGTTTTATATCGTAAATGACGAACTTATTTGAATAAGGTAAATGTATTTTTAAGATTAATTTAACATCTGTATTCATATAACCACAATTTAACATCTGCAGTCATACACAACTCTTAAATATTTTTTTTATGTATCGGAGAGTAACATTTATGCACGTAAATAATGACAAAAAAAACTCTACTATGGAATCATTCATATGTGAGGGAGCGGGACACGCGCCGTTTTCCCAGGCCAGAGGAGGATATTTACCAAGTTAATGACACGTGTCACGACACGATCCATACCAGTCACCAACCCGTGACGCCATGCAAGATGGCCGCCGCCGCCGCCCCGCCCGGCTACACTAGCGACCTCACCCGGGAGAAACCACTATACCAGATATGCCAGGCCAGTTATTGTCATTATACACACACATATATCATTATATACACACATATATTATTCACATTGTTCTTCAGCATGTTACAGGCTACAACTCATTTTGAATATATATATAAAATGTTATGAAATATTAATTTGCTGTAGAAAGAGAAGAGAGATGGCTTAGAGTAAGGAGGGGTATGGTTGGGGGATGGAAGGTGGGTGTGGCTAGGGATGGAAGAGGATAGGGGGAGGGAGGATAGTGACTAGAATAAAGTGAGGGATGAGGCGTCCGTGACGTCACCGACACGTGACTCCTCTTATCTGCGATATTAAAGTGTCAGTGTTCACTTCCTGCCGCCCCTGACAACTCACTTCTACTGTGAAATACGGTCTTTATCGTCCACTCGGCCCGTATTGTCCCCCTCTCATATCACAACAATTGAAAAGACTGGCTTTAGCTGACTTAATATTCCCCTGCGCGGGAAATATGAGAATAAACATTATGTGGCAACTCGCCGGGCAAATTGACGACTTATTGTAACCTTATGACGTCAAGTAATGTTTATATGTAAAAGTTAAGACGTCAAGTGACGTTTGTATGTAAAAGTTAAGACGTCAAGTGACGTTTGTATGTAAAAGTTAAGACGTCAAGTGACGTTTGTATGTAAAAGTTAAGACGTCAAGTGACGTTTGTATGTAAAAGTTAACACGTCAAGTGACGTTTGTATGTAAAAGTTAACACGTCAAGTGACGTTTGTATGTAAAAGTTAACACGTCAAGTGACGTTTGTATGTAAAAGTTAAGACGTCAAGTGACGTTTGTAGTGACAATTGTCAGAGACACGAGACGAGGAGACACTGAACAGGTGATGTTGAGTAGCATTGTGGTATGACCGTCCTTAACCAGGCCTCCATATACGCCACGTCGAAATGTAGGTGTAGCCTGGATGACAGTGTAACACCACGTCAACCACCTGTAGCCGAGCGCTCAATAACCCCACTACGCTACACGTAGCGGAACACGCATCTCTGACCCCTGTCTATGGAGGACGGAGGAAAATGTATATATGTATGCTGGTTAGCCTGGTACTGAAGTATGACGCTGGTAGGACAAAATACCACCAGGGTTCGACTAAACACCAGTCCCCCATATGCAGACGAGGAGTCACAATAACGTGGCTGAAGTATGTTGACCAGACCACGCACTAGAAGGTGAAGGGACGACGACGTTTCGGTCCGTCCTGGACCATTCTCCAGTCGATTGTAAGAGAATCGACTTGAGAATGGTCGAGGACGGACCAAAACGTCGTCGTCCCTTCACCTAGTGTGTGGTCTGGTCAACCAGTCCCCTCGACCTCCGAGCGACCAGAAGTCGCTTCACGCTTGATCCATTCAATCATTATCTAGAGCCATTATAGTGAGTACTTTTACTAAATACAACCATCCTCCTCCTCTCTCCCTCACCCTGTTCTTCCCTCCTTCCCACCCTGTTCTCTCCCTCCCCACCCTCTCCCGGACTCCATCTTGGATACATTCCCAGGGTTTATTTTCTCATTTCGACACCCAGACACACACCCCCCTCCCCCTCCCCGGCGTCGAGGGCGACTGACACTAAGACGTAAGGACACAATGGGACACGAGGCGCTCCACACAATACCGGGAGGAAAATGGACATATTATAAAAGAGGACATAAAGAGGACAGCGGACATAATACTCGCATACAATGGCCACGCGCGTGCCAGGATGGGGGAAGGGGGGGGGGCGGGGGACAGATAGTGGGGGTGCCAGGGGGGGGGGCATAGACAGACACATATATTGAGAGATCACCACCAGAGGCCAGCAAGCATCACACACACACACACACACACACACACACACACACACACACACACACACACACACACACACACACACACTCTCTCTCTCTCTCTCTTTAAGCGTCACTTGTGAGACAGGTCAGCAAATGAAGACCAAAGATTAATCGTGAACCAGGAATGACCGGAGCGGTGTGAGGCTGTCCACAGACCCGCCCTCACCACGCACCAGTCACTCTCAGGCACCAGCGTCCACGTATAATTTGGGGCCACGTATAATTGGGGGGGGGGAGTTTGACAAGCAGCCGGCTATCTGTCTCACCATCTACCACACAGTAGACCACAGCAACAACGACTCGCGTACAGTACGTGTCGAATACATCCCAAACATTCCCATCTAAAACTAAATGTGCAGTTTCCAATGTTTTCGTTCCTCCGCAAGTATCAACTGAGCCGAACGACCGCCGACATGAACGGAATTCAAGGACATTAAATGAAATACATTTCTACGTAAACACGGGTTAAAAAGGTTAAGATGTAGTTTATCACAAGACAATTTTGGCGACGTTGGACCTCGTCATTCAAGTCTGGTGGGGGGGGGGAGGCGTTTATCGAGATATTGATACATTAAACTTCTTCAATACAAATGTCCGATATAATAATTTCTTAACCCCGCCACCAAGGGGCACTACTTAGATCTAGACACTCACACAGGAAACAATAAGATGCCAAGCCTCAGGCAAACTAAATTTAACCAGATTCTCTTCAATTGTTACCGAGATAATATTCCCGCCAAAAAATATAAATCGATTTACATTATTCTTTATTAGAAAGTAGTTGTTTTACATGAAGGATTACGAGTTCGTGCACTACGCCGGGGGCTAAGACCCTCCAAAGAGGGAAAATATCTGGTTTCCATCCTCCTAACACCCTCCATCACTCTTCCCTCCCTCGCCTCCCTCCCTCATCTTTATGGCGCCTTGCTCGCATCTCTCACCATTCTTCACCTTAATATTATTCCGCCCGTCACTCGTCCTTATCCGTGCACCTAACTCCTCACCCGGAGCCCAAGCCAAGGTCAGTGTCCAGTATACTTGACCCTCACTCGTAGCTCAGTCAAGTGTTCGTTTCGTTTCCTCACCAGACAAAACCAAGGCCAGAATACGGATAGTTGATACCCACTTAAGCCTTAGCCAGAGCCGGTCTCTTTTATGTGGTTGTTCATATTGAACTTGTAAGGCAGTGTCCGTATGCGAAGTTGATGTTCGATACAGCAGTCATTTCCACCCACTGAAACGAAGGAGAATGAAGCCGTGGCCAGAATTTGTCATCTATGTTATAACACGAAGCTAAAGTCGTGGTCAGCGATTGTCCACGCCACCCCTGCAGGAAGCCGAAGCTACAACCAGCGTTCGTTTCTTTGGTAAACCGAAGCTGTGGCCAAAACATGATAAAATAAACCGCATGCCGGATGACTTAACACAACACCAAGAAATAACAAAAATCTGGATAAAACGGCAAATAAACAGGAAGCACTGACAATGGCGTTGTTGACAACGGGAAACACTAAGGACTTGACCTCGTAAGGTCTGTCCTTGACCTCGTAAGGTCTGTCCTTGACCTCGTAAGGTCTCTCCTTGACCTCGTAAGGTCCCTCCTTGACCTCGTAAGGTCAGGGAGAACGCAAACGCAAGAGTAACATAGAACTCAACACATCCTGAACGCCTTGCCAGGAGGAAAGTCCCGCCTGAAAACCTCCGTGACGTTTATGGCCTGAAATCGGGAAAGAGAAGGACGGTCCACTGCGTCTTTCTTCACTGTACCAAAAAGCTTGAAACATAGAAAACATAGTAGCCTCGGAAACTATGAAGTTACAGTTATGATACATTATGTAACCAGGTCATCATCAGTGCTGTAACTTGCTCAGCTAAACGAATTTTAAGGTTCAGAACCCATTATGTGTATGTGTGTGTGAGTGTGTGTAACTTTTTTCCCGACTACTGCTCATAGTCTGGGGTCTTCTACCGCTCACAGGATGAGTTTGTGTATAGGTATGGGAACAAGTGTCCGGTAATTAGAGGGAGTAGTTGATGGTTGGGGAGGTAGTTACCGGCGGAGGCAGTGTTGCCAGAACCACCATCGAGGTCTTGTATTCAAATTCAACTTCAAAATCAAATATATTCCAACCCTTCATATATCGTGAATACCATTTGGCAAAATATTTGTATTATAGATTGGAAATAATACAAATTTGTTATTTTGAATGATGTATTGGAAACATAAACTGCGGGACAGCGTTTAATTGGTTATTGCATGAGCTTGTGACGTCAGAAGAGATGTGGTGCCTGGAGACGGTTGACCTGGTCAGTGGTCGGCGGGAAGGCGCCGGAGAAGGACGTGGTCGTCACCTCTACGCTGGAGAATACTTTAACTTCATTGGAGTTAAGCTTGGCGACGTTCTACATTATTCCGGTGAGAACATTTGTGAGGGCTCTCTGTTTTTTTACTATTTATTAAACGTGTTTCTCGGGCAGCCGGCTACAGATTGCAAAACTGTGATAGACTTAACCATATTCGTTTGTTTATAATATAAAGGTGGAAGAATCTTTTCCTGAGGATTCTCCCATGAGCTTAGGTGGTAGTAGTAGTTTTAGTAATTTTTTATTTCTAAAGTTATAATTATTTTAAAGATGGGGCAAGTTTTATATTTCCAAGAGTAAGGGGGGGGGGGGAAGTTTCCCTTGGTGTAGATTGACAATTTAGTGGTAAATCTGGCTCGTTGATTACGAACATTTTTAATTACCTTCATCATACCTGGCGTATTGACAATTTAGTCGGTGCGTTTAGTTTGGTTTTTAAGTAAAGAATATTATAATTTTCATTGCTCGAATTAAACATTAGTGCGTACAGTATCTGGTTTTGTAGTAATTATATTGTGACAAATTGTCAAATAATTACAAAGTTCCAGGATCATACTTCTGAAATAGTTTTTAGTTCAGGAAATGGCAGCTAAATATAATTACTTGAGGGCCATTAACGGCAATAGTGAGAACGGGAGCTGGTGACCTGTCGAAGGTTCCTCCCCCCCCACACGTGATGTAGTAGAGGCGCTAAATGAAATTGCTATACAATTACTTCTATTAACTAGTTTACTGGTCCCATGACAGGTTGTGGAAGGTCCCTACAACAGTCTGGTCAGAAGGAACTTCAGTTTTACTGAAAGATTATGGTAAGTGTTACTATTGTACAGGGCAAAAGTAAAATTTTACCCATAAATTAGTTTTATAGGCCTTTTTTTCCCAAAACTTGAAAGTATTGAAGTGGTTAGATTTATTTGAAGGGGGCCTGGATATGAAAAAAGTCCTGTTTTTCTTGGCCTAGGCTAGTGGGTACTATATTAAGTTAACTCTTTGCAAAGTTTTGACTAATAAAAAAATTCTATTGGGTTATTTGTCCTTAATGCAGACCCTCAACACGAGCTGTTTAAGGTAAAATACTTGTGCATTGAAATTAACAAGCTTAACTCTTAAATGTTCAGTTGTTTGGTTTAAAACTTGCTAGGTATGATTACTTAAAGGAAAATTTCTGCAATTTACTAATTACTGTACTGCAATAATTGGTTCCCCTAAAGATCAAGCTAAATATTGAATGATAGTTGTACTTCAGCTTTGTATAATTCAATTTAAGTTTAAACTTTCAGAATATTGCTTGGACAGTGAAACTCCTTCCTTCAGTTGGGAGGTGTTAATGGCTTCAATTACAGAATGAGGTGAGTAATGGTTCAGTATAATAGAATAGTTTAAGAACCTATAAATGGTAGTTAAACAATTTTGAGCATTATGGCAAATATGCTTAAATTTATTTAATTACTTAAAATTGACTAGATTGTTAATGGTACAGTATCAAAGATTTATTAATTTAGTATCATTGTTTTTACTTCTGGCAAACTAGTAAAGGTTGATATAGTAAAAGTAAAGTAACATTATTCTTGAGCATTTAGTTGTATTCTATATTAATTTGAAGTGGTGTTTCAGGTGGCAATGAAGGTTACAAAGAACACGGCAGTGAAGATTTTCTACACTGCAAAACACATTACTGGATGATGGTGAGCTGAAATAATTGTTTTTAGCTATATAAAGTAATTGAAGAGAATATCTAGTCCATTTATGGATGTGGGACCAAGTCCTACTGTTACAAGGTTGCTCTGAGCAACCCACAGGGGATGATGCACTTGGTACTGATCCTACCCCATTTCATAGAAGGGGACCAGGCAGTCCTGCAGATTTCCCTGGTTTGGCTTTTTCAGGTGGTTGAGTGTCCAATGGATGGACTAGTGCATAGGTTTAGGGATGTTAACAATGATACTCATTGTTAATTGTAACTCACAGGGCTTGTTCACTGAAAGAGTGGATGCATCTAGAGATTTTGTGCCTTGCATATCAATGTGGTGTACATTATCCTGTACACCACATTGGTATGACAGGGCACAAAATCAATAGATGTCTTTCAGCCAACAAGTTCTGAAATACATGAAGCAAAAGGGGTAGGCCTTGCTGAACCAATCTTAAAAGATTGGTTTTTCTGGTCTGAGTTTATTATTAGGTGTTAAATTTAATAAAACGACTGTCCCTGTCTTATGTTTTTATTCTTTCACAGGTGCTTCTCCTTGGTACTGGACTACTCCCACTTTGGTAGTGCTTTGGATTCTTCAGTGCTGGCATTGAGGAGCATCACAACCTGAAAGATATTAAATACAATTAAATACTGTAAATTGTATACACCTAATACTTTAATAAATTTATTGATGACATCTTATATACTTTATCCTTGTCTAATTTAAGATGCAATCATACTGGAAATTAGTGACTTTATAAGGGTAATCTGTAAAAATGCAATGTCTAACACTAAAGACAAATTACCTGATTTATTCTATGGGAAATTAATTTAAATGAGTGACATGGCTTGGGAATATGAAGTTAAAATTAGTTTCTTTCACTAACTAAAACAAAATGTGAAACTTAGTGATTAATAAAGTAATTACCATGGCAAAGTCTAAAATTTGAACACTTGAAATATTAAAGTAACTATTGTAGTTGATTATTAAATCTAAGAAAGATTTGAACTTTTAGAAGGTTAAGCAATAGCCAAAACCAGTCTGCTAAATAACATTAAGGACATTTTAGAACATCTTTGCTATTAATGTAAAAGACTTAGAACTTTTGAACAGGTCCATCCTAAAGGACCTGACACTACCATCAGTCTGGATACCACTAGGGATACATAATAAACTAAAGTTATTCTAGAAATTGTTACTGTGGTTCAAATACACATGGCCTTTATAATGGGCAGGTTATATTTCCCTATTGTCACTGAATTCTACAAGAATTAAGATGAATGGGGTTTATCTATCTGCACTTGTCGTAAAACGGAAGGCTAAAGAACTTTTGATAAGGCCCTTTAAAGATGACACTAGACAAAAGTACACCATACATTGTAAATTAACACATCAGTATTCAGACATCAAACCCTACAAATGTTAAGTGCTCTGTGTATACATCTAACAAGCACCATAATTAGAGACAAGGCCCAGGTGTCAAACCAATCTCTTATATGAACTGCCAGCCAAACTCACTAGGTTCAAAAGTGTTATGAAAAATACATTCCCTAGATTGCAAATGTCACTCAAATTTTCAAAGAACCAAGTAGAAAACTATTGGCAGATTAGTTTGTCCTCACATCTGTAAGGTAATAAAAAGAATCCTGACGGAGGGCATATTGGTTTAACAATAAATCTTAACTAACGAACCTACTCCCATTTTTTTTTGAAATGGTAACCAGCTATTCGGACAAGGGACTTCTGGTACATGTGGTATGCATGGACTTTGCTTAAGCACCAAATTAAAGACTAGGAGCAAAATAATAACCACATGGTAGATTGGTTAAAACAAAGAAATCAAAGGGAAATCTAAAACTTAAACAAACAAGTGGAACATGCAGTAAGCACCATACCACAATGGTCTAACCCTTATCAAACACATCAATGACAAAATATAATAAACCTCATACTCAAATTTCCACACACCAAGATTTATCCTTAACAGGAAACAAATAAATCGAGGCCTTACAAAGATCTACATGAACTCTCAAAATGGTTAAAAAGACTGGCAAATGCTTTTTAATATAAAACAAAATTGCAAGACCTTGCATGTGGGCCAGTACAATCCATATCATAACTACCACATTAACATTACATTGCAGCAGATCAAAGAAATATAGGACCTTTGAGTAAGAATCCGTCATTCACCGAAACTTGCTCCATTGGGATCTGCAGTAAACAAATACTAACCAAAAACTAGGAATAATCAAACTAACTTTTGACTTTATCGAAAAGAAGGTATTTTACTGTATTAAGTAATCACTTAGATTACTGTATCAAAGCACACAGACGCCATCTTGAGAAAAACAGCTGCTTTCGAAAAAGTTCAACACTGGGCAACAAAAACCATTCCACAACTAACTTGACTCTAATACCAGGAACAACCGAGGGACACAGCTAACAACATTGCAACCCCTCTCCTACCCCCAAGTCTTATGATCCAAGATAAATTGAGATTGACACTTGCTACAGACCAATCCAGCGACAGGGTGACCTCCTGGTGAATAAATTGAAGCATAATACTGTACAGGTGTCAATGGACATCAGTCAGGCCACCTGTCAGCACACTGGAGAACTAATCCACAGTGTTGTATGCCTCCCTGTGCCCACTTAAACCAATACAACACAGGGTTGTGGCCATGTTTACAGCATAAGGTAAGGTAGAGAGGATTCCTCGAATGACAGGTAATGTGTAGCGATTGTATGTGCTTTAGACACCCAAACAGAATAACATTTCTGGTGTTAGAATATTCTATCAGTTTCTCATTCAGTATAACCTTTTAAACCCAAATACAAATTCCCCTTAAATGTCAATTTATTTCGAATTTCTGATTACCACATTCCAAATTACTGAGCTCTGAAACCACTACGAGGCAAGTTTAACTGGAGGAGTGTTTGCCTATCCACACCCCGATGAGTTATGTGACAACACTGAATAAAGAAAAGGGCTTTGAGCATTCAGCATGCAGCTCTCTGACATGACTTGACCAATATAGCCAGGTGTTCAACATTCTAAACAGTTCTGGACAATCCATATGCTTACATGTAGTATCAAGTAATATAATTGAGCAAGTGTGCTTCGATGATGTTTCCTATTAAAACTCATTCTACAAGTTTTTTGTATTAGACATTTTAAAGCTGTGAGTGGTAGCCCTTGATACCATTCTACTATTATTCCCCCATTACTATTATTGATTCCAAGATGAACAAGGTCAAATCAATGTCATAACAGCAAATGATGAGGGCTTTTCTACACCTGACAAACACACAGCTCTAACACCAGCCATCGCCGAGCGAGGACGTCCCAAGCATGTACACTCCACATCTTCACATCACCTCTGCCATCTCATGCGAGCAAGCAACAGGATGAGGATGCCACACTCTCAAACCAACATCATGTACTGTTACTTTGAGGCATTAACAACTGAACATTTCAACTAAGGAAAATGCAGACCAAGCCATGAGACTTAGAAGAAAAACGAACTACACACAACTTTCACCAAACTTCCACATACCACCCCACCCTCACTCCTGCCCCCCCCCTCACAAACCATCCTCCCTCCTGCCCCCCCTCACAAACCATCCTCCCTCCTGCCCCCCCTCACAAACCACCCTCCCTCCTGTCCTCCCTCGTACCCCTCACTCCTACCCCTCACTATCCCACCCTCACTCCTGACCAACCAGTAAACCTGTTCACACTACCCTCACATCTAACTAGCCTGGGCTCGAACATGGATCCAGTCACCTAGATTTGGTTTTAACTATTCAATACTCTAAGGAACGTGGAGGGAGACAGAAGCACCGCGTCGTGAACACCATCTGAATTCACTGTTACTGAGAGACAAAGGAAGAATGCAGACTAAAGTTCAGGAAGAGTAAAGAGTTACTTTAGTATTACTAATACTCTACTGTATTGCATGATCAATTCCAAAGGGTAAGATGCAAGAGGAAGGTGAGAATTGGTGGTAATGGCCAAAAGTGTGATCACGGTTCATGTGTAACTAGCACCGGCTTGGAAACAACGAAGCCGTGAAGATGAACGACAGGTGTACATCAGGAAGAATCTTTTCCCAGATATGAGGAAGAGGGATACTAAATTGACAGTGGACACACGAGATCATCAACTTTCTCAGAGGTCACGACCTCTCCGCAGGGTGCAGTCACACCTCCACAGATCTCTAGTATCAGCTAATGATACTGGTAATGGCTCCAAAGGTCCACCACTTACGGGCTATTCATGCCCGTGCCACCTTTTGGGTGGCTTAATCTTCATCAATCATCAATCAATCAACTTTCTAGTTCAACCAAATGAATGACCCTGCAGTACACAACAATGACTTTCTTAAACAAAATAAAATCTGCAGGCAGTGAGTCACAATAACGTGGCTAAAGTATCGACTTGAGAATGGTCCAGGACGGACCGAAACGTCGTCGTCCCTTCACCTTCTAGTGTGTGGTCTGGTCAACTTACATCATCAAAATAAAATCTATTACAGTATTCTGCTGTCTGTTGCTGCCTGTGATCCTTACAGGCTGTGTGCCTACATGAATAGTCAGCATTTTACTAATAAAGGCACTTTTGCATGTCATGCACAGTGTAGTGAGGGAGCAAAGGGTAGCATCCCATTTGAGAGAAAAGAAGGGACACCAAAACATAACAGGCAGGGAATAAAAGCCAGGGTGATGGATGAGATTTAAGTCAACTTTGACTTAAAAAACACAGAGGAAAAAGTAAGAAGATGAGGGCAGAGGAAGAACCAAGGGACAATAGAAAGGACATAGAGTCACTGTTGTGGACGTCATCAAGGACCCACCAAATCCAGGTCTATGTAAACGGAAAAGTTCAGAGGGACAAAATCAATACATCAAATATCACAGGTTCAGGGTACCCTGAACCAGGATACTCAGTTC